CTATTAATTGAAATTAAATAAAAATGTTTTATGTTTAAATATGCGTTTTCTGCTATTTAAAAAAAATCTGTCCATTCTGTCCTCCTTGTTCCTAAACAGGGTCAGTGTGGGAGCTGGAGCCTTTCTCACATCTCAGACCATCACAGGGACACAGACAAAAACACAAACAGCTATCCACACTCCAGTCACATTGATGAGCTCCAAAAGGGTTTCAAACTGGGAACTCTAGAATCAGATCCCCCTGGTCCTGCACAGTGTTTAAATTACTTATTATTAATAATAATAATTTATCATTACCACAGTAAATTATGATTAACATGAGGAGTCTTTAACATTGAGATTTAATCAGGGAGTCAAATATTTACATGTATAAATTTATTATAAATTATACCATAATTAAAGATGAGCCGTTTAAATTTATGTTTGTATCAAGTAGCCCTTTGTGTAACTCAGTACCCCCGAAGTAGCTCTTAGTCTCAAAGTGTGGTGACCCCTACTCTGTTTCTATGCAGGAAATACCACGTAGAGCTCAGTTATTGTTTGTTAATGGTGCTCAGGAATGCGGCCATACATGTTTAGTTGAAGGTAAACACAAAATTATAATGTTCATGTTGCCCTCGGTGAAAATGAGTTGGACCCCCTAGTCTACACGGTCTCTTCATTGATAGTTAACATCTGAGTGATTCATAGCAGGCCTTGGAGAAAGTTCCTTGCATTAGTTGTCTCTGCCATGCCTGGAGGATAAGAAATAGAGTAAGACCCAAAACACCCATCCCCAGTAAGGAGGTGGAAACATTATCGTTTGGTGCTGTTCTTCTGCTGAAGATAAAGAACAATTTCACTGCATTGAAAGGCCAATGGACGAAGCAATGTGCCATAAAACTGTGGACAAAGACTCTAATATGGATCACTAATGGGTCTGCCACCAAGGCAACAAAGGAGTAAGATGAAGCACATTAAAGTCATGAAATGCCAGTCTTTAGATCTCAGTCCTGTAGAAAATCTGTGTTTACCAACAGATGTTTCTCCCTTGATTACTAATACGTGATTTGTTTGGGATCTGTCTCAAATAAATGATCCATCAGTTACTGTGCTTCAACTCTACAGGGGACAGATCTTGATGCTGTCAAAGCTCGATGAGAACTGCCCAAGGGCGAAATCCAACCCCACCCCGACACCGCTCCCCACCCCGAAGACGGCGTACAGCGGCTGGGTGAAGTTAGCCCTGAAGCTGTGAAGGTGCATCATGTTGTCTGCCACGCTGTAGAACGCCAGTGTTCCCATGGACAGGTCCAGGTAGATGCCCAGGCGAGGGGAGTAAGTGACCGGTATGTCCCTCTTCTGGTTGGCATGCATAGCCAGGCAGCAGGTGTCCGACAGCTCCAGGGTCCAGGACTGGGCGTTGTAACCGAGGCCCGACCTGGCGTCCGAGCCTTTCCTGCTCAGCGCTCCGTAGGCCACGCCTATCGAGGAGCCCCGCCCCCGCCACTCCACCTCCCAGTAGGAGCGCTGGGCATACAGCGGGCTCTGGCACATCACCTGGGTCCAGCCGTCAAAGCGTTGAGGACAGTCTGGGTAAGGCTGCGCCACCGCCTGCAGAGTGGCTTTAGTGTCACCTTCAGAGAGTACCAGCCTCTTGTGGGCGGTGTCAGGGTCAAGGGCCAAGTTCACAGAATCTTAAAAACAAACAATTACATTTAAATACTCATTAAACCTGAGAGTATTTTGTTCTGCTTGCCTAATTAAACAATGAGACTCACACTGGAGAAACTCCTCTCTGGTTCTTGGTTCGGGTGCCTGGATGCTGTCGAGGTTGATCTCTCTTACTGGAAAACCAAACAGGAAGTCAGTTTCATTGTGCTTTTCTCGTCTCTGCAGAAAGATGAAGATGAAGCTAACGTACATGCAGGGAAAGCAGGAGACTGAAATGTGGGGTCCGGTGTGGGGGTGTCCAAAAAGAGGCTGGGGTTAACTGATGGACAAGAAATCCTCATTAGACACATTCCAAGTAGATGACCATGAAACATTGATTGGAGATAAAAAGCAAACATCTTACTCTCTGTTGGAGTTTCTGACACAGCAGCCATCCCCCCTGTTGATATTACAAAGATATCAGTTGGTTAATGAAAACTACAACTCCTATAGTAGATCCAGGCTGCTGGATGTATCGGTCAGCCAGAAATTAAAAAACTGTATTCAGCAGCTACAGAACCATTGGCCTGTACATGGTCTATATACTGTAGTGACATACAGCCATAATTATTGAAGTACGGATGTTTTATCTTCATTCTTTTAACTTTGCAGATGATGATAGTATATGATAGTAACTAACATCCAACGTTGGTTGCGGACCTCATCGATACTAAAGTTACTCAATCGATACTTTACTTTCAGCACGTTGCTTTGTTCCAAAAATAAAATGCTTCACTGAAGCTCCCGGTAAGAGGCACGCTCAGATATAAACACTGAAGCATGTCAGATAATTATTTAATCGGCTCTGATTGCACAACTTCAGATTTGATTTGCTAAGTAGCATTCATGTTTAGCTAACTCTTTAAACAGCATGCTGAATGTGATGTCATGTCTTTCTGTGCATGTGGGTCACATCAGGGCCATGTACAGTTCACAATGGAGACAGATGGAAGTCACAATTTATAAAAATATCGTGAACGTTCACGCAAAAAAATAAAAATCAGATAAAATATCAGAATCGAGCATTACGACCTGCAGAGTGAGAATGTAACCTTAGTGACATATGCCCATAATTAGTGACATATGGCTGTAGGTAGAGGTGTATGGCCGTACTTCGTGAGGTGACTAACCCGTCAAAATTGACCAGTTCCCTGAAAGAAATAGATCTACATGACCTGGCTCCCTTCAAAGAGGTGTACACCCCATCTGGCTCAGAGCGTCACTTCAAAGACAACTGGACTGTCCCTTTAATAAGTCATTCTATTCTGAAAATTCAGCTGTTTTGTTTCTGGTTTCTAATGGAGGACAATAGAAACAAGGGTCAGGTCTTACCTGGATGTCCTCCTGCCGGAGCTGTGTTGTTAGCCGGGGCAGCAGGAGCGGCCTGGTTGGCGCCACGTCGGGAGCGGAACAGGCTGCTGATGGACGCCATCCGACTGAAAGCTGACGACAGCAGGAGGAGAGAGAGGTTACCCTGGAAATGTTCAACACCGGTTCTGACACAAATCACAACAACATGAACGTACTTCCTGTTGGAGCCGGAGCTGGAGCTGGTGTAGGAGCAGGAGCGGCAGCGACTGGGACTGGAGACGGAGTCACAACAGCTGGGGCGGGAGCAGCCGGCCTCTGACTGGACCTGCTCCACAGGGACTGGGTCTCTCTGCGACTAGGAGTCGGACTGGGAGTGGGGCTGGGTTGGGAGTTTGTCTCCCTCACTGTTTAAAGAGAAAAAGATTAAAGTCCGGAAGATCAAGACCGTAGAAGTCATTTAAAGAGCCATCTACAACAGGTAAGATATTAACTGTTGTAACCTGTCCACAGAACCCCACTTCAAACTGTACTTAGAAAAATATTATGCTAACATTTTGTGTTGTAGATAAAAGCCTTAGCAGTAACTGCTGGAGTCAACCATGTTTGTCTGTTAGCAAAATATCTCATGAATCACTGGCTGGATTTTAATGCATCTCCCAGTAAGGAATCATTGAATGCGCGCCTAGAACTCATTAATTTTTTAATCAGTCTAATTCAAGATGGACACCATAGTTAATTACTGTTAACTGATGCATAAATGGCTCCAGCTCAGTCAATTAAATAGATATCCAGCTCAGACTGAATGTGGTAGTTGCTGAGCGTTATCTGCAACACATGCTCTGAGCTGATCTCCATCTGAAACTCTGGCCTGAAAAGTGGAGGGTGATATACATTCCTTTGAGGAAAACATCTTATTTACCGTTCTCTCTTTCCTCTCTCCTCCGTCTGTTGGGTGAACTCGTGTTTCCTCGGTCTGCAGCAGGGTAGAAAGAAATATCTGAAATCTTCGCTTGTTTCTTGCTGAACGTGTATGGCAGCTCAGATAAATCAAAGTCTGACCTTGAGGCGTGTCTCTGTTCCTCACGTCATGACTTTTGACTCCTGTTTGTGGACAAGAAAGTRTTTCTGCTTTGATTAAACAATCTGTTTCACCTTAAAGAATTCACATCAGCATACCTGGTCTCTGACGCTCTGTCCTCCGGCTTCCAACCGAGAGACTGGGAGCTGTGAAAAATACAATAAAATATGACAATATGAAAAAAAAATCAACATTTATCTGCAAAAATGCTGAAAAAACTTAGCTGAAATTTGAAGTAAATAAGAGCTGAAGATGGATTATTGGGAGAAAAATAAAAGATACAAAGAACAAAATGTTAAAAGAAGCAGAAAAATCACGAGACAAAAAAGATAAACAGTGAATGCACAAAAGAGATGCCTTAAAAGACCAAARGAGTGCATGGAAAGACAAAACGGCCATAAAAAAGAGTTAATTAAGAATTTATAAGGGAACAACAAGGATGTGTAACGAGACAAAATGGACACATAAGGAATGGAAAAATGGCAGAGGACAAACAGGATACCCAAAAAGAAAAACCGTTTAAAAAAGAAATAAGGGAGAAGTAATAAGTCATGTTGCATAAAAAGACTAAAAAGGACACAAAGAGACAAAAAGGGCCCATAAGGAAATAAGTAGGACACATAGGATAAAAAATTATGCAAATACAAACAAAAAACATGCATAAGAAAACAAAAGAGGTCATTAGGGGACAAAGAATTCCTACGGGAACAAATAAGATGCATAACAAAATGAACACAGTGCTGAATCTACCTGCTGAACGGCTGTTTGTGTTGCGGGAACTAATCCCAGAAAACACTAAAAGAAAAGGAAATACTTTCATCAGGATCACAAAGTACCATCTTACTAAAGTATTCAGTGTTCAGGAGACTCACGTTTTARAATGTTTCCCTTCGATCCGATCCCTCTGGCTACATGAGACCAGAAGAAGTCAAAGTTAGATAAAGATGAGTCTACAAGTTCTGTTATCATGAGAAGGAYGGGTTTTTCTGAACTTACAGTTTCCCAAAGTGAACAGGGTGGTGTCATTGACTGAAAGAGAGCAGACGACACRATGGAAAACAAGACAGAAGGAAAAAGATTTACAACCAGAATCATCTCCTAAGACAGACCTTGTTTGGTGATCTTGCTGAGTTCTTGGTTGCACAGGTCCTCCACTCTCTCCCTGAGGGCCAGGATRGCGTCTTGGACCGGCTCAAAGGAAGCCCCTGTGTTGGCTCGTACCACCGGCAGGTCCCCGCACTCCAGAGGACTGCTCATGGAATCACAAGTCTGAGAGAGAGAGAATCCATTTTTTTTATTTTTAGAGAAACCTGTAGAAGATCAAGAAGGTGGAAGCCAGAACGTCGTACCTGCAGGTARTAGATGTTGTCCTCACAGTTGGCCAGGCCCTTCATCTCCTCGTCCCTCTTCTTCCGCTCCTTGATCTCGGACTCCAAGCTCTCGACCACCTCCTGGGCCTGGTTTGTCTTCTCCAGGTAGGCCTGGTCCATGACTTCGGTCAGCAGGTCCTGCAGCCGCTCCACGGAGTGCTGCAGGTCCGACAGCACGCTCTCCGCATCTTCGTGGACTTTGTCGGCAGAACGCTGGGATAAACAGAAGTGACACAACTAACGGTCAGAGGAGGACTTCTGGAACATGGCAGAGGAGACCAAAATAAATAAACACAGAGCATCAACACAAACTCTCCACACCGTCAGGCACGGTGGTGGACGAGTGATGATTTGGTAGAATCTAAACATGTTTTAGTCCCTGAGAGGACCACAGACTCTTCTTAGAGTCAAATGTCTGAGTAAAAACACAAATTTAGATGTTTGTGTGCACTGTGCAACACCTAAATTTGTGGAAAACAYATTTTGTTTTTGGGGGGATGKKGGCACRGTGGCTCAGTTKGTAGAGCTGATGCCTCTCAGCAAGAAGGTTGCCGGTTCGAATCCCAGCCTGGGGACCTTTCTGGGTAGAGTTTGCATGTTSTATCTGTGCACGTGTGCGTTTTCTCTGGGTACTCCAGCTTCCTCCCAYAGACCAAAAACATGACTGTTCAGTTAATTGATAACTCTTAATTGTCCCTAGGTGTGAGTGACAGAGTGAATGGTTGTTTGTCTCTATATGTGGCCCTGATGGACTTGCTGTCCAGGTTGTACCCCACCCCCCACACAGCAACTGCTGGAAATGAGCACCACTGACCCCATGACTAAAAATGGAAGAAGCAGGTATAAATAATGGATGGATGGATTTGGGGGGGAGAAGAGTCACCAGTTCTGTCCTTTTCAGTGCTAGTCCATGTACAGTAGCAGTAACAGCTTGTTCTGTGCATTCAGGCAATCAAAAATAATAATAATCCAAACTCCAAATAACTGTCAAAAATAAAATATTTAATATAAACTACATCTCTTAGTGAAACTGGCAGAAATAGGTTCATGACTGTTTTATTTTGTGTAAACCATCACTTGATGTCCATTTTTGTTTTTCTAAAAGTCTCCAGATTATGTTGAGGGGCTTTAATTAACACAACTCTGACTGTATTGTTATTCTGGTCACTTTTATCACTGGATCTAACTGCACTACTGCAACTATATTGTCAGCTCTGATTACTGTATTGAACTGGTGTACATATGTTTTATATATTTTTCCTTTATATTTTCTTTATTTGTTATATTTTATACCTATTGTACCTTTACACTGAAGCAAATTCCTAGTCTGTGAATCCTGTTCATTGACAATGGCAATAAAACTGATTCTGATTCTAACTGTCAAATCATCTTACAGTAAAAGTTCTGTATTTTCTTTATACTGTATATCATATGTTGTTATGTTTGATTGTTGAATGAAATTAACATAATTAACTTAATAAAATTAATTTGTGGGCTTGATGTCGCTGTGAGCGGTTGCCCTGTTTGGACCCCTTTTTGGCTCCTCCATGATGTCACAGATGCTAACAGTGAACAGGCTAGGCAGGGCTCAGTCTAGCGTTATTTACCTGTATGGGTCCAGTCAAAGTCTAGACATAGATAAGGAGCACAAACCCCATTAAAGTTATGCTTTGACAAAAAAAAAAAGTGGGCAGAAATGACTCCACAACCATTCCAAACCTGCTGGTTCATGGGGTGGATGTTTTGTTTATAATAATGGTGGWATCTGCTGTGCTTTTGATCAACTGAGGTCAAATTCAAACTGTTCTGATTCATAAAAGCCTGGATGTGACAGTAAAACTCCAACCTTCACCGCCTCCATCATCTTCTTCATGTCTTTCAGCTCCTGCTCTCTGGTCTTCAGCTTCTGTTGGTTGTCTCCCTGGATGTCCGACAGCACCTTCTGCAGAGAGACACATCAAGACACACGTGAGACAACAGGTGAGCGGAGGGGCGTGGCCTGGGAGGAGCCAAATGAACGAACAGGAATGTAGTCTGGAATGTCCTCTGCCTGGCTTTAATGTCCGTGTCACACAAAGGAGGACAAGAGGACCCAACAGTGGACACCGTAGAGTAGAAGTTCCCACATGTCCCAGAGGGAACCAGCTGACCTCATCCTCTGTGTACCTGTTTGTCCAGTCGCTCAGCCTTGGTGGACACACACTCGTGGTCCTTGTGATGGTTGCTGGTGCACAGCCAGCAGACGAACATCTTGCACTGGCGGCAGTAGAACTCCTGCAGGTACTTGTGCTGGGTGCAGATCTTCTCGGCCAGGTTGCTGGTGGGCGGGATGAGCTCGTGGGCTTTGAGGGACTTCTTGGTCTGGTGGGGCTTCAGGTGGGTGTCGCAGAAGGAGCTCATACACACCAGGCAGCTCTTCACCGCCGCGCGCTGCTCTCCTTTGCACATGTCGCATGGCACGGCTGCGCTGGGCAGGGCCACTCTGGATCTCGGTGCCCCCCCACGGGCACTCCGGACCGAGTCTCGCACCTCCGATTTGAGGGCCCCCTTACGGAGCTGCTCCACCGCCTCGGCCAGCATGGTGTTCCTCGACAGGGAGGGCTTGGGGCAGAAGGTCTGGCGGCACTGGGGGCAGCTGTAGATTCCTTTGGGGTCATCCTTGGTCCAGAAGTCCTGGATGCAGGCCATGCAGTAGCTGTGCCCACAGGGGATGGTGACCGGATCGTTTGGCAGGTCGAGACACACGGGGCAGTTAAACTGCTCCTCTGTCCACAGCTTGGAACTCATAATGACGTCAAACACAATTTAATATAAATAAAAGTAAATAAAAATAATGGTTGGTTTAAGATCAGCAGAAACTTGAAGAAACTCCAAGCAGCAGAGTGACGAGATGAAGGAAGTTAGTCGCCTGGACTCTCAGGAGGAAACTGTTGAGTCTCAGGTGAGGAGTTTAAAAAAAGAAAGGTGGGCGGAGCCAGAGCCACCAGGCAGGTCAGGCAGGGTGAACGGGAAACGGCTGATTACAGGTACGGTACAGGTGTGAATGACCAGTTATTGTTCTTTTATCAATGTAGGGGTGGAAAGAACTGTCAGATTTTTCTGACTGTAGTCAATAAAACAGTGTTTAAATAAACCATTAATAAATAACTGAACTTTACTCATTCATTTCACATTAATATGGTATACGTGTAAACTTTAACATCAATAAACAATTATTTTATAGCTTATAAATATATACAAACACAGGAAACAAGAATTTTGATGTATTGTAACCCTTTAAACCACAATTCCTGACAGTAAAAGACATAAACAGCAAAACAGTTTTGCATTTAACAATTACTTATTTATATATTTCCTCTGCTCTGTCTTGATTTTTGAACCTTTCATTGAACACTTGTAGTCGTGACCTTTTTTGCCAATTAGGAGCTATTTTTGAGCACTTTAACCTTTATGTTAGTTTCCAAAATTGATAGCATTTTGATTTTAGAGCTGTTGTAGATTAAGGGCATTGGTTGGTATCGAAATTTGTCAGGAATTAGTGTGTTTTACATTCATCATAAAAAGTTATCTAGCAAGTGCAATATTACCACTATACAAGTGCAATATTACCTACCACTATACAAGTGGAATATTACCACTGGAGGGAGTGTTCCAGTTTAAATCTACCAATGGGAACAGGAAAATTACCACTTCCAACGCAGCATAGCATGTAGCTAAATGTAGCATCTCCAAAAAGTCCTAGCATTTTCCTGATTTCTAAATAAACTAAATAAAACATCTACAAGCACTGTTTAGGCTACTTGTTTTTTATACAACATAATACTTTCATTCGTCTTCTTTAAGTGTGAAATTATTATTTTAAGGTGCGTAAAATAAGGCTACAAGAAAATGTTTTTTTTTTTTTTTTTTTTTTTTGGCGAACACGGAAGTAGAAGGAAGGGAAGCATCTTGACTCGAGTTGAAACAACTCGGCCTCAGCGTGGGAGCAATTTTAAACTACATTAATCTCTTTTAAACGATGTCTGACAAAACCATCAAACGRCCGGGGGTCGGTGTCGGTGTGCTTGTAACAGACTCGGCCCACCCGGGCTGCGTTCTCCTGGGGAAACGAAAGAGCTCTGTAGGCAGAGGAACGTATCAACTACCCGGCGGACATCTGGAGTTCGGGTAGGTTTGGTTAGTATGACGTCACTGCCTGGCAGAGTTTGACTTAGATTTATTTTTTCCAAAGATAGCTATATTTTAGTATTGCATTTAAATATTTAAACTTAATTTTATGGTTATTTTTGAAAAGGTTTTCATAAAACAAACATTGACCTGTTTTTACTAAATGGAGGACGATAGGAGAATAATATGCAGCTTTCCTCCTSCAGCCCATCAGCACTCGGTTCACCTAGTGACACTGGTGAGTTTGACTCTACAAACCTAAAACGTGAATTTGATCACAGATCAGAGGGCTGTTTCACAAATCTAATGATAAGGGATTAAGCCGGGATTATTCCAGATATTCTGGCTGAATTAAGCCTTGATTCGGTTTCACAAAAGCAGTGATGCATCAGTTACMATGGTGATTTATTCTGTGCAGCTAAGCCTGCTCCAGACCAGACTAACAGCCAGGATTAGTTAATCCTGGTGTCTATCTGTTCAGTTAGTGGTCCCACCCATCAGAAACCAATGTGTTTTATGRACTWTTTTAAATCAGCGTACAATAAAATATCACTGATTCATTTTGACATTCAGTCAGGTACTGTTATTATTTTAACATTATGATGGTTATCATTATAAAAATGGTTATCATTATAAAAATGGTTATCATTATAAAAATGGTTATCATTATATAAATGGTTATCATTATAAAAATGGTTATCATTATAAATGTTATAATTCTTCATGTGGGTATTGTTACTGTTTGAGTTTCTGAATAGTTGTTCTAAGTTTGACCGAAAGGCCTTTAATAGACCATCTGTGTTGAGGGGATTTCAGAAATGAATAATAAAGAAGCAGAGGTGTTGTCATTGAAGTTAAACCATACCAGTAGCTCCAAACACACATCCTTTAATGGTGTGCCCATTTTTGAATGACAATGATGAAGCACTTATATCGAGAAGGACTTTCATACGGGAAAGAGTGTTTCAGGACAGGCCAGACCAGTTAGCTTGTTCCTGACAGTTACCTTCATGAGTTTTAGCACATTTCTGGGGATGTTATCCTCTACCTGTGCTGACTGCTGGGTCCTAAAATTCAGCTTGATAAAGAATGGTCAATATTGTACTCAGAAATGTGTGATTATGTTGCATATTTAATAGTGGAATGATGGACCATGTATGAAGGGGCTGTTTCTGTGGGTGGGACACAGTGGCTGCACCCCCTTATTATTCAGGTGATCCACTATTATTTGGCATGCTCTTTGTTGCTCCTTTAATATAGTGACAGTGTGTTTTTTCTTTAGTTTGATTTGCTTCATTTCCTCRTGTAAGTTTCTAAACATCAGTTATCATGAAGCCTTAGCTTGATGCCCCTATAAAATCCACCCTCCCTTTCCAGCTGAAAATACTCCTCAGGACCACGCTAGAGTAGCAGGCAACTATGTGAGTCAGTTAAAGTGTCTTGCTCAAGGACACCATGACACGAGGCATGGCGGGGAATCAAACCGATAACTTTCTGGTCCCAAGTTGGCTGCCCAACTCAGTTCTGTCAAAATAAAAGTCCTGCCTGAACAAACTAACCTTGGTTTGTGACACACAGGGAGACGTGGGAGGAATGTGCTCACAGAGAAGTTCTGGAAGAAGCCGGGGTCCACCTGGTGAAGGTGGTCTTTGCATCGGTGGTGAACTCCATCAGGCTGGAGGAGCAGTACCATTACATCACCATCATCATGCAGGGAGAACTGGACCGGGCCCGGTCCGGAGAGCCTGTCAACCTGGAGCCAGAGAAGAATGAAGGTACAGGAAGTGGAAATGCTGCAGGAAGAGGAGGACAGCGTTTTGTTTTATTTTTATTTCTGTCTGAGCTGATCCAGATCAGGTTCCGGTTTGTTTTGCAGGTTGGACTTGGACACGCTGGGATGAGTTTCCACCAGAACCGCAACTCTTCCTGCCGCTGGCCAATCTGAGGCAACAAGACTTCCAGCCATTCACAAACACACAAACATGAATCATCTTTTTTACCCAACGTAGTGAATAAAAAGACATTTTCTCTGCAAATGTCTCAGTTTCTGATCTCGGGATCTTTATGTCAAACAAAGAATGAAACAACACGACAAATTAAAGAACATTTTAGCTGCAGTCTTTTAAATCAATTTAATTTATTTAATCGATTTTCTTTTGCCATAAAGTATAAGTGCAACCARAACTACATCAACCAAGTTACAGTTTACTAAATATTTTACCTGAAAAATGCTGATTTATTTCTGATTTTAAAGTTTAAAATAAATACATTTATCATTTCAGAGCAGCTTCTCTGATCACATCAGGTTGACCCCCAGTGCTAACAGCAGGGTCCAAAGGGTTGCCGCAGCGGTCACTGCGGCACCGTTGAAGCTCTTGTCGTGGGCATAGGTGATGATGTGCAGAGCTCCGCTGTAGGCCTCCTCGCAGGCTGGCTTGATCTGGTCCTCTGGGAGCTTGAAGCCAAAGGTTCCATTGTCCCTTAGCTCGAATGTGTAGGAGAAGGGGATCCCCTGCATACGGGCCCAGTCTTTGGAGGAACCAGAGAAGGGATCTGAAGGGTTACATACATTTGTAAGAGTCCTTAAAACGTATTTGCACATGTTTGTGAAACAAAGAAACTGAGTTATTGACACGTACACATAACATCTGGAGCGGTTCCGACTTTGTAGTTCTGTCCGTGGACCTTCCAGATGGCTTCAGCTGCTTCACGGCCCACCTTCATCTGAGGATCAAACAACTTTCATCAGGAAGTCACTGAACTGTATTGAAAACCTGCTTTTCTGTATGAAGTAAAAATGGGTTTGGGTAAATGAAGCTTTTCTTTTCAACACAGTCCTCTTTGTCACCATCTTGTGGCCAAACTCATAGGAAACGTACTGAAGGCTGTAACCATTGATATATTACTGGATTGGGCRTCACGTGACCTGGGCGTGCTTCGCAAGGGGGATTTTTATGCATTGAGCTTATGCTAATGCTAACCATTGAAATCAATGAGCAGAACGTAGTGCGGTGCAAACAGACGCTTTATAAATGTTCAAATGGTACAAATAGTTTGCTATAAACTGCAGAAATTGTTACATGTTCACAAGAGATAAAAGAGTTATGTTTCACAGGTAAACATTAAGCATATTTAACTAAAATTAATTATTTTAATAGTAAAACCTGTATGCTAACATTAAACAGCTTCAGTGTTCGTGTATATACGTATGTATATACTGTGTATATA